CACCACAGCTGTTTTAATAGCCCACTAATAGTTCTGAAGCACGGAACAAAGTCTGTAAATTCTGGGCCGAATTCTGTACCAACATATTGCCAAGGCCCAGAAAGCTGAGCAATGTGTTTCAGCAAAAAGTTTTCCAGTCACTCTGAAATGACTCCTTAGTGCCACTGAAAACATTTATTTTGACAGGTCAGTGCCCAAGTGCCCACATCAGTAGAAATGAATTCTGAAATCTTTGAGGAAAGTGAAGGAATACATTGACCTCCAGCATCCTGGATAACTGACAAAACACACTTAGAGACCTCTTGAGGATTCCTGTCATCTTTTGGAATTCAGATTCTGCTTATGAGTCTTTAGAATCCTGGGCTGGAATTCTGCTACATGCCAGGGCTATACCATAGATTCAGGTTAAAATGAGACTCTCTGAGCATTTCAGAAATGAAAACTTTTTGGGGGAGGTCCAGGACAGAGTGGCTCAAAGAATCAGGCACAATATTATAACTAACTCCAGCAATTCATTCCAACAAGCATTGACTCAGTGACTACCATGAGCCAAATTCCTTGTTGGCCATGGGAATTCAAACACACACACACACACACACACACACACACACACACAACACACAACACAAACAAACAAAACAGAAAAGCTGGCATCCTTCTGCCCCTGGAACAGCTTACTTTCTGCTGGAGGAAGATAGTATGTATAGAGTTTAGTTAAGTCAATAGAAATATCAGGCCATTTCAGTAGATGAAGACTGATAAATGATAGCATTCAGAAAGAGAGCATCAAGTATTTGAATTGCTATCACATGGTAGCAGGATTAGACTTCGTATCCAAGGCTCAAGAAGCTCAGAGATCATGTAAACCAGACAACTCATTCTACAGTTAAGGAAATGGAAGTTAAGCACTTGCCTAAAGTAACATAGGCAGTAAGTAACAAAGTTAGGATTTGAACCCAAGACTCCCTTTAGAGAGTGAGCACCACTAGGGCAGGGACTGGTTTTTTATTTGTTGGGTTGGTTTGCTTGCTTTGTGCCTCCAGAGCTTAACATGATGTCTGTGTATATCATAAGCACTTAATAAATGCTTGGCAATTAGAAGATATTTGGTAACTTTGGGGAGTGCAGTTTCAATTGAATGATGATATTGGAAGCCAGACTGTGAAAAGATTGCAAGGGAAGGATAATTATAGATGGCCTTCTCAAGTAGTTTAGCTTTGAATGGGAGAAGAGATATAGGATGGTAGCTAGTGGGAATGGACAGATTATGAAGGTCTTTTGTTTCATTTTGTTTTGAGAATGGGGAAGACATGGGCATGTTTATAGGAAGCAGGGAAGCAGCCAGTAGACAGGGAGAGATTGAAGGCTAGGTATGATAGAGAAGGCCATGTGCTTGAGAAGAAAAGATGGATTAAGATGACTTGTGCATGTGGAGGGGTTTGTCTTGGCAAGGATTGGGGCCATCTCTTCATACAAAACAGAAATAAAAGAGAAGATAGTGATTGAAGACATCTGAGCGATGTTAGATGAAGAGCACAGAAGAAGAGCAAGCCCTTAGTAAATGGCTTCCTTTTTTTAAAATGAAATATGGGGCAAGTTTTATTTCTTCTGCCAGGTTCATTATTTGTCACCCTCTCCTATAGAATTTTTCTTTCTTTATGGAATATAAGCTCCCTGAGAACAAGTGCTATTTTATTTGTGTCCTTGTATTCCCAGCATCTTGAATAGGGCCTGGCACATCATACATGATTATCAAATGCTACTTGATTGATAATTTCCATAGCTCTTCATCCTATTCTCCCTTCTGCCTAGGTGGTCCATAGAGATCCATCATGCCAATATTGACTTTGTTTCTCCTTGAGTTGATCAGTTATTCTCTCCCATCATTCAAACCTTGGGTTCTTGGATTTCCTCTCCTAAACATTTCTGCTTAACATACAAGACTGTTCCATTCATTTCTCTGTTGTGTCCTTCTGAATTAGGCATACCCTTCCAGAGCCGGATTTCTGCCCTATTCAATCACATTATGGTGACACACATGACATCAAATTTACTTCTTTCCATTAGGGCCTGTAGTTCAACTTATTTCTCAACCATATTTTATGCACTCATGGGTAAACATCTGAGATCATGGTTTTTAATGTTCTATCTATGTTTGAATATCTTCTTCTGCTTTTCATTTTCTAGCATTGTACCCATAATTTTAGGGGTATTGTGTAGATCTCAGTGGGTAGTTTTTTATTTCTGCCTCTTACCCCAGTTTAAAGACCCTCTTGTCAGATTTGGAAGACTTCAATCCAAGTCATTGGCCATCATTTATTAAGCAGCAAGTTGTCACTCATTGTGTCAAAAATAAAAATGAAATTGCTCTTCTAGCAAGAAGTTTTGATTATATCAAGGGATTCTGCAATATATATATATATATATATAAACATATGTATTAGTGAAATAGATGCAAAACAGATTCAGGCTGATGGGGGCAGGACATTAGCAAATGGGC